AGACAATGGCAATGACTGTTCTTGAAACCGTAAGGAGCCGGTGAGACTCCACAACTGGCTCATTATGAGTTGGGTAGACAGGGCTCCGAGAACTGGCAAAGTGAAAATATCCGTGCAGTCCAGTTAAGGGGAGCAGACAATAGGGGTGACTCGTTGGAGCAGACAGACAGCCTATGACTCTCACCCGGATTCTGCCATCCACTGGGGCAGTGTGCTGTCGCGTAAAAGCTCACTGGCAGCAGAATGCTTGGGTATCAGCCTCTTCTACTGGGTACCAGCAAGCTATTAAACCCCCTGACGCTCTCTCCTGTGTGCACAGAAATGCTAGGGATGAAATGGGACATACACAGAAGAGCATCGAAGTAAGTAGTGTGTGTTCCTCTTCTAAAGAGAGTCTAGGGTGTTTAGAACAGGCTCCGTAGCTGGCGGGTCTGTACTGCAGTGAGGTTGTAAACATTTACGGAGAGACTAGCTGTGTACCTGTGGACAATGTTGTGTGCCTGTGGCTTTCCCAGTCTTTGGGCATGACACCCCCCCTTTTCAGAGTCCTGGGTGAGACTGGCCTCTGTCAGGCACTCCTGACCCACAAGGGGAAAGAAAGATCTCATACCATCCTGCTCTCTGGCTGCCCTTGTAAACCTCTCCCTTGTGGACTGTCACCAGCCAGCCACTCATGAGTGGAGAGTGAGATTCCATGCTGTGCCATGCCAGGCTGGGCCGTTCTCAAGTAGAAGGACATGGGGGAAGCTAAAAGCTTTAGAGTGCTGGCTATTGCCAGCCTCAAGATCTCATATACCTCACCTCCTCATTCTGGACTGTGGTCTCCCAATCTGAGGGGGATGGGGGGTAGGTGGGAAGGTTGCTAATATGCAGAGGGTTATTGTGGGGGATCACAGCATAAACACGTACATAAATGAACAGCCCCGGCTCTTGGGAGGATGTTTGCGAAGGCTGAATGCCTTTCACTTTCCCTGTAAGTGACTTTCTACTTCAGATTCTACCTACAGGCAGCACCCTTTGGTGTGGCTTGCACCAGTTAGCACTTAATTAGGAGGGCCAGAGCAGACCACTCCCATCTCTGGCAGGCCAAGGGCACTGAACGAGAAAGCAAGCCAGGCCACACTTTAGCTCTCCCCACCCAAGCTCCATAGCCTCTGCTAGCTAAAACCAAGAACCACCGATTCCAATGAAGAAGAAAAGGGAAGTGAGCTGTGACCCCGTAGGGTGTAGTTTCAAGGTGAAAGCTGTATCATCTGTTGTCATCACTCCTTTTGAAATATGCCAAGACCACGCAACAGACTTCTGGAAGGGGATGGAAGGGGAGATAACTCCAGGCTAAGGACAGGTGAGAGAGCATTAGCACAGATTTGGATGAGAACCACTTTTCCAGGTCTGTCTCCAGGTTCTTCTTGCCTCTCAGAAGCATGCCAGTGGCCGAGAGCTCAGTGGCAGGCTCAGGTTAACACCCACTTAGCTCCACCAGCAATGAAGGGGTCAAGCTGAATCCTACCGTTTGGCCCAGTTCACTTCTGCCCTACATGTCTGCCGGGGAAAGGTGATGGACAGATGGTTCTAGCTAGTGATGGAAAAATCACGTCACGACTCTGCCCTCAGTAGCCCACATTCTGAGGGCACTCACATGCATTCAGTCATTGCTCAGGGGCCTGCTTGCTGTGTGCTCAAGCCGTCTCAGCCTGACCATGGACAGTTGCAGGCAGTGATATTCCTAAATACTTACCATACTCTGTCCAAAAGCCCCTAAGCATTTCCTATAGCTGCAGAAGCATGCCCTGCACCTTGGTGTTCAGGTCTCACCTGGCTGTGGTTGACAGTCCTCTGACCTTACTTCTCAGTGTCTTCTATGCAGATTCTCCCCCTCCTCCTCCCAGAAAGCCCACCTACATCCCCATCCTCCCGTGTGTTGGCTCCCTCCTTTAATACATGCACAGTTCTTTACAGGGACACTGGGGTCTAGAGGCCACAGCTGTTGTCTTCAACATTCCCAACATACCTACCTTCCTATCCACTCCCCGATCAATCAGCATCCCCCCCCCACACACACACCTTACACTCATTTTCTCCCATCAAAGTAAGTCCTCTCCAGTCCTGTGTCTCCTCTGCTTTCTTCTCCAGGCATACAGCCACCCCGCACCCCCTCCTTGGAGTTCTCAACGCAAAAGAATTGTAGGCTCCTTCCTGATCCCAGTCATGGAGGTCTTGTCTCGAGTTCACTCTGATGTGTAGGCTAAGCAGAGTCCATACTCTGAAAAGCTGCGCATCTGGCCACTGTTGGGGACTTAGGGGATGGGAGTCTACATAAAATCAGACAGTCAAAATACACTTAGGATGACCCCTCTTAAGTAGCCCCGTGGCTGAATTCACTGTAGTCCATAACCGAGTGGGAGCTGAGGGTGCTCTTCGGCGTACTGAAGTACACTGGAGTCTGTGGAATTGTACATCTGCTTCCTCCCAGCACGTTAATGCCATTATAGATGCTAATCAGCATTCACTTTCACTGAGTGCTGGATCACTGGTGTGGGATCACTTTGCATCACAGCCCTGTATCCCCTTCCACAAGAATATAGGAGAACTTACAAAACAACATGCAGCACCAAAACCCAAACCTCAGTCTGCCTGTTCCCATCCATAGCCAGGGCCTTCCTAGTGGGTGCTGGCCCCACCTTCTCACAGAGCCAGGCCTGCTAGCACAGAGCAGGCAGGGTGGAATGGCTGCCTGGGATGCACATGTCTGTCCCTTCCCAGCTGTGAGATGTGACGTGCACAGCTTCCTGGCACCTCTAGAATCGGGATTCACGGGTTGTTCTGAAGACAGAGTGCAGTTAATGCTGCCTGGCTCTGGCATTGATTGCCTGTCCCTGAGTTGAGGCTGCCACAGCCCATGCGAGCCTGGGTGCTCACTGTTGAGGAGGCAGCTGTGGGTTTCCCACCTTCCCTGAGGAGTTCAGACTCGCAGTGGGGATACAGGAGAACTGGTGTGTGATGGAGAATGGAAGGGCACGGGAGCTCTAGGAATAACATGGAGCAGGGCTCGCATGAGCTCCCTACCTGCATAAGATCACTGAACCCTAAGGGAAGGCCACCAGAGTGTACATGGGCAGCAAGACACACGCGAGCACACACACACACACACACACACACACACACACACACACACACACCTGTTGCCTTGGCAGCTAATGACTTCTTCTAGGCAGGTCTGAGAGCAGGACACACTGAAGTCACTAACGTCACAATTTCAGGATGACTCAGTGGCAGAGCTGGAGTTCTAGCCTGGTCCCTTTCCCTCTGAGCTCAGGCTGTTTTCCAGGCTCTGCTAATCAAGAACCAAACATGACTAAGTCCTAACAAACAAACACCCCCTGCCACACACACACACACACACACACACACACACACACACACACACCACACAGGGCAGCATGCTTAACTGCCAATTTTCCACCAAGGACATGCTTTCCTTCAGAAAGACTGATTACAACAAAAAGAGAGAGGAAAGTTCTCTCTCCGCTATCTCAAGGTGTCGGTGAAGCCCACGCCTTTACCCACTTCCTCTCGGTATCAAGAACGAACCCCAGCTATTTATAGCAGGCAAGAAAAAAAAAACATTGAAAACATCAGAGGCCCACCCTGAAATCCTCGGGTCCTCAGGCATTCCTGTAGGCAAATCTGGGTCCACCTACTTGACACCCCCTTCCACCCCCACACTTTGCCATGCAGAATGCTTGCTTGCAGGGCCGCAGGGTGGACACCTTCAGTGTGAGTGCCATTCTGTTACTAGAACATATCAAGCAGCTTCTCAGAAAAGCTGGCCACTTGGTGTTATGGAAATATATCGAGGGTGTAAAACTCACACTCACAACAAGTCACCTGCTGTGGCTCAGGGCCCAGGTCACTGCTCCGGGTCCTGGATGGCTACAGGCTTGACCTGCACTGCAATGAGTCTCATGATGAGCATGGTGGGTCCTGTATTGTTTATAGATGCTCGTGCTTGGAGGGGTCTGGTTTACACATCTTGCAGGAGTTACCAGCAGGCTCCTTCATGCTGTCCCACACTATCTCGGGTCTGCAGCCCAGCTCTCTGGCCTTATCTGTACAGCTCAGAGATGTTGGAAAGGGCTCTGGTGACCAGTCTATTTATAGCTACTGGGTTCACAGTCCTCCCCATGCTTAGACCCCATGTAGTCTCCTATTCCTCAGATGAGTTCTTCCCTGCTGGCCTGGCCTCGGGCCTCCAAAGACCTAACAAGTAGATGTCAATATGAAACAGCTGTAGTGTTCTCCCGCCTCCAAGTATGTGTGAGAGCCTGCCTCACGGTGGCTGAATGCTTGGCCATTGAGCTCAGGTCCCTGATGTGCCTCTTATTAGCAATGGACTTCTCAGAGAAGCTGGCCTCTTGTGTCAGAAAAATGACACCCAAGTATGTAGGACTCACACCCAAGCTAAATAACCTGTAGAGGTTCATTGTGAAGGTCACTGGGCTCTAGGCTGTCCCCGTCTGGTTGTGTGTCTGACCAGGCACCCACTTCTCTGTACCTCCCATACCATCATCTCCTGTTAGCTGAACCGGTGGTGTCTTCTGGGGTTAGCATCTATTTTCATATTCAGCTACATCTTAGAGTCGGGAAACCTTGCTGCTAAAGGAGCTCCCTGGGGAAGGAGGTAGATGCAGCTGTGTCTTGCAGAGTTCTTTTACCAGAAGCCCTTTCCAGTCCTTGTTTAGTGCCTCCATGTGCACAGCAAGCCTGCAGATGAACTCATCCGGCACCCTGACTTCACAGATAAGGAGCCCAAGTGTCTCACACAAGCATCTGCTACGTGTTGGTCAGCCCTGACATTCATGCATGCTGGATCCCCAAGGATCCTGCGTATCTGCATTACGCGCCAGGATGCACAGCTCTGCCAAGGCCCGAGGGTCTGCAGCCTAAGCAGCAGCCAAAGCCACACAGACTGTCAGCTCAGTCCCTGTTGTTCTTTCCAGGGAGGCTCTGCACTATCCCCAGCTGCTGTCATCAGCCCTGACAGGGCCCAACAGCAAGCCGTGGCCTTGGCAAAGGAGGTTGGATGCCCTACCTCAGCCATCCAAGAAGTGGTGTCCTGCCTCCGCCAGAAGCCTGCCAACATCCTTAATGATGCTCAGACCAAGGTGGGTGCTGGCGTGCACGCAGGTTGGGGAGGGACAATCTCTTGTCTTTACAAATGGAAGGCCAAGGTCGAACAAGGAGATGTAATGGTCCTTGCCACCCAAGCGACACATCCAGTCGATGGCCAACTAAAGGTGAGTCGCAGTCCAGTTAGGAGCCGTGCGCAGGCTGTGATGGCACACACGAGGCTGCTGATGGAAGATAGGTTCCATCATTCGAATGTCTTAAGTACAAAGTGGGAACTATGACGGAGATCTAGAGCTGAGAGAGGAAATGAGCTAGCATTTGAGAAGGGGCATGCACACTCCATGCTAGGACCAAGGAGGCACAATATCAGGTCACAGCCCCTTAGACAGACAGCGAGGCACCCTTTTTACCCGCAAAGACCTTGCTGTCAGCCTGACATCGACATGCTTTATCCTCTAAGAGGGAGTCTGCACCCTGAGACCTGGACCGAGTCTTGTCCTCAGCCTCGCCTATGTGGGGCTGTGCTGGCTAGTGTCACCCTTTAGAGCCATTGACGTTTCCTTAGGCCTTCCTCTTCTTTCTGTACCTCCTCTTGTTACTTCAGCCGAGGGGCTCTGGGAGGGTCCCCTGGGGGCCCAGCATTGTTGAGGCGATTTCCTGCCCAGTGCTGGCATTGTCACAGGGTGTCCTGCTTGCCTGTTGCCCTCTTCATTCTATCTGGGCTTTGCATTAGAGCTCACTGGATTTGGAGCATGGGCATTCATAGTTAAGAACCCACTAAGCAAAGCAGTCTAATGGTTATATAATAGCCGGATACCATAAGGCAGAAAGGCACACTGTAAGGCCTCTGGAGGTAGAGAAGGATGTGGCACCATCTCGCCTAGTTCCCTTCACAGAGGCCTTTTTGGTCCCTGTGCCAGTTCAGAACCTTGGCTCTTCCTTACCACAATCCTCAGCTTCGGCTGCACAGCCAGGACTGGGATTGACCCTCTTTTAAAAAGGAGAGTAAAATGTGCGCAAGCAATGGCCTTCCTCCTCACCCTGCAGCTCTTGGCTGTTAGTGGCCCTTTCCACTACTGGGGCCCTGTAGTCGATGGCCAGTACCTGCTCGAAGTTCCAGCCAGAGCGTTGAAGAGGCCTCTGCCAGTGAAGGTGGATCTACTCATAGGGGGTTCTCAGGACGATGGGATCATCAACAGGGCGAAGGCTGTGAAGGTAGGTAAGGGAGGGGCCTATGCAGCCTTCTGCTGGGTACACTAGGTCACGAGCTACTGACCGACTGACTTCTCTGACCGACAGAGGACTGTTAGCCAAGGCTGCAGAAGCCTGGAGGCAATCATGGCAGAAGTTGGGTTCAGAACGAAGATATTTACAACAGATGACTCACACAGATATGCCTACAAATTGCAGCTGTGAATCAGTCACTGTGAAGAGCTTAGAGTAGAAGCTGATGGGGTGTTCCCAGCCTCGGGGGGCACCTTGCCACAAGCAAAAACATTCTCCTCTCCCACAATGTGTGCGCAAGGACATTTGTCACAGCATTAATTACTGTAACACACTCAAAAAAAAAAAAAAAAAAAAAAAAAAAAAAGGGAAGAAATCCAGATGTCCCTTGACAGGGAAATGGTTGGCTAAATTAAGATACACTTTAACTGCTAAATATTATGCAGCTGTTAAAAAAACATGAGCCTGATCTCTCTGCTGGCTTGAGGGAGGCGCTGGCGGCCTGCTAAGCAGAAAACAGATAAAAGAGAGGCATAGCGTTGAGCTAGCACTCATCTTTAAGGAACAAGTGTATGCAGGTACGTCAATGTACATGTTTGTGTATTTCCATATGAAAGGCCCGTGGTGTGAACAGATAGAGACCAAGCAACTAACCCTGACTGCCTCTGGAAGTGTGAACCAGAATGGCTCACTCTCTGTAGCTCTCCCCACATGGCGACTTACGCGGATGGTAACCCTTTTCCTTGCAATTGCCACATACACTGCTGCCTGGTGAGAGAGGACTTAGGCAGGAGACCCTGTCCTCACGGTGCTGGCTCTGGAAACACGTGCTCAGCACTCGGCCCATCTCTGTGAGACGAAGGCTACTTTCAGAGTCTCAGCTTAGGGTTCATCTGAGACAGAGAGCATGGGGGGTGTGGGGGAGGGGCCACCCCGGTAGGGGCTTCCTACACCACCTCCAAGCAGTAGAAGTTCCCCAAGTAGGGGTGGGAGTGGCCTCCTGCTAGTAGATTTGGGCTGTGAAGGGGCAGAGCACAGTCCAGGTCATAATTCTAGCCAATCGTAAGAAGGCTGCTTGCCTGTGCAGCTTGGGGCTTGCCCCCCCTTACCACTCCCTGTCCCAGTGGTGCTTGGGGAACTGTCACCGATGACAGGCTACAGGGCCAGAATCCTTCCTCAGGGTTTGTTTCCTGTTGGTTCTCCTTGAACTACCCAAGGTGTTCAGGGCAAAGGGCCCTTTGTTCACTCGCAAAGCAATATGGCGGGCGGCATATGGCAGAAGGCTCACTGCTAAACCAGCCCTGCCGGGGAGGTAGCCACCCAGAGGTGGCCAGAGCAGGGAATCCAGTGCATGCATCCATGCTCCTCCCCACAGGGAGCTAGGCCTTGGCACACTGCTCATTAATCGCCCATTTCTATCTCACTGAGCTCCTGTGTAGTCCTAGGACCTTGAGCCTGGGGAGCACACCTGAGCGCGGCCTGCCTGGAGGATGGGGATGGCAGAAGCAGTGGTTGATGGGAAGACAGGGTTCAGCTTTCTGTACCAGTCCCAGTGAGTGGGACAAATATACCTCCTGCCTAGCTGTCCATTCAGCAACCACTTGACCCCAGACAGCTCCCAGAGCCAAATGACTGCTGAACATCTCCACTCAGGTGTCCTCAGCTCCTCGTCTTTAGCTCACGGCAGATGTCTGGGGCCACCTCTGTCCCCACTCAAAACTCACACACCCACCACAGTCCTCCCAGTGCAGTGCGCTTCTCAGGCTTAGCAACAGTAGATTCACCCCACTTTCTCCAAGTCTACCAGCCAGTTCACTCTGAGCCAGCCAAGCCCCTCCCCAGCAGTCAGAGCTGTACCCTGACAGTGGCCCCAGACGCTTGTGTGATGGGATCTAAGTTTACTCCCCGGTCACCCTGCATGGCCAGAGCAGTTCCACGTCTTCGGTGTTCCTTAGCTCTGCTTAGGCGAGTGGCATATGCTGTCCCCTCTCCTAGAATGTCCTCAGGCTTCATGGGCTTCATTTCATCTGGGGTCACTTCTGAGGCCCTAAACCCAGGAAATCACTGCATCTTAGCCATGCAGGGTGCACAGCATGGGTACCTAACCGCAGCGCCTGTTTGCTGTGCCACTGAAAGCAGAGCATCACTCACAGTGTGCCCGATGCAGGGCCGGTTGCGGTGAACCTCACTTCCAACTGTACCCTGCCCTCTAAGAGGTACCGGTCAGGTCAGAGCATAGAGAATCAACACAGCAACCATCTGGGGATGGCTATATGCATGCTGTGTAGAGAGGTGGGTATCATGTCCCTGAAGACAAGACGTAGGTAGGGTGGGGTCCATTGCCTGTAGTGGCACTTCCAGCTGGGTGACAAATGAGCAGAGTCTGACCAGAGTCCCTCCCTTAGCTTTCTCTCAGCAGAACAGGGGGAAAGTCCTGAGTGTGTTTTGTGTATTTACATTTCCCCCAAACCTGAGACATAGTTTCCCTATCTGTAAATTGGGAAATTATTCATAGAGATCCCGCAGAATATCCCCCAGAGGACTCAAACATACTCTACTGTCTAGAAAATAGTTGCACCTGAATAAATGATAAGTATTTTCATGCTCAATTCTTTAATAAAACAGTTAATGGCACCGGTCCCAGGAAGAAATACAAAGGACGTAACAGTCAGTGAACCATCTGACCTCAGGCGAGTGTTTCAAATCACAGCAGAGATACACGTACATGGTCCAACAAGCACACACGCTTTCTCCTCATAGCAGCCTACAGAAGTGCCAGCTGGAGCCCAGCCCACAAACACACAGTTCAGGGAGGGGTAGGTGCCTCCTAGCCCTCATTCCACCCTTAGGACTAGCCATCCCTTTAGGAGAGACTACCAAACACCCTCAGACCAAAGAGGGTGAGTGGGTAGTGCTTCATCAAATCCCAAAGACTATCACCCCTGCCACCCAGGGCACTGTGGTCTACCCAGGGAGTCCAGAAGACACCCAGAGACATACCTGCCGAGCATGGGGACTACATAGATCCCTGGGAAGGTGGAAAGCCTCCGTTTGCTCCAAATGATCTTATTTCCAAAGTCGGAGCGTTCTATTGAAATTCTTCATTGGTCTCTGAAATGGGGAATTATCCCCCCTTCCTCCTTCTCCTCCTGACTGCTGAAGTTGACAGTCTGTCTGCATTAACCAAGACTACATTTGCATTAGCAAAAGCAGACTTGTTCCAAGATGCATGGTTCTGCTTCCCCCTCCAAGCATCTCCAAGGAAGGCAAGAAAAATCCAAAGCTTGGTGTAGCCGGCGTGTCCTGGGCTTGGCTGGGAGTTGGCCTCATTCAGGAGCAGGTGCCGCAGGGGCCTGTGAAGGGGGGCTGTCTGAGAGTTGGAAAGCTGCACCTGGCAGCCAAGCCGCTGGCATGAGCCCCAGAGCAGCAGTATCAAATCCTTGGTGGCAGCTCGTAGTAATAGACGGATGTAGGAATCCTCCGTGTGTGTATGGGAGAGAGAGAGAGAGAGATTTCTTGGAAAGAGGTGCCACCACCCCAAATCCTCACGCTAGGTCTGGACCTAGGCAGACACGGGATGTGAATTAGGATAATGGGTCATGGTTCCTGGTTTTGACCACATGGTTTGAGTGAGTTGTTTAGCTAGTCAGAGCCGTGGATATTGTAGCTTCCCAGTAGCACGGTGAGTCTTGTCTGCCTTCTGCATATCTGAGAATGGAGACAGCTCTCACAAGATAGGGACTGTGTGGAGCTCCAGCTCCAGGATGCCGTACCCAACAATGTTCGTGCTTTGAATGACTAGGGCGATAGATGGGATGGGATTTAACGTCTCCCATCAGGCCACAGCTATGCACAAGACAGCTAAACCTGGCCAGATAAGACCAGAAAGAGGCAGGTGTATGGCCCAATATCAGGCAGCAGTCAGGACTAAGTGGGATTTGCTTCACATCCTTCTCCCCCTAACCCTAGGGGAAGGCACTCCTGTATTCAGATGGGCAAAGGAAGGCACAGAGGGGTAGAGCCACTTGTTCAAGGTCACACAGTAAAAAGCAGGTGGAGCTAGAACAGCTACACATGCTTAATGCTGTGTGTTGATTCTTCTCAGAGAGAAAATTCTAGAATAGTGTCTGAAGGACACAATGTGTGCCTTTGGTGATACGATTGGGAAATTGCATGTCTTTTTCTTTCCTTCTTCCCTCCCGCTTTTCAAAGCAATTTGAGGAGCGCCAAGGCCGAACCAACAGCAAGACCGCCTTTTACCAGGCACTGCAGAACTCACTAGGTGGTGAGGACTCAGATGCCCGTGTCCTCACGGCCGCTGTATGGTATTACTCCCTGGAGCACTCCACAGACGACTACGCCTCCTTCTCAAGGGCACTGGAGAATGCCACTCGGTAAGCCAGGCCCACCAAACAAGCCAGGGACACTCAGGATGCCAGTTCATGCAATTCCTTTGCCTACTGTGGATGAGGGTCTGGAGGCTTCTCAGATCTCGATGGAGGCGCTGAGGGCCTGGGACTCGGTGCTGAAAGGGTCCTCAGTACACAACTCTCAATGAACCATGAAGTAGCTACCCCCCCCATGGGCCCTCAGACCACGCGGGAGGGTGACAGGACAAGGCCCAGGTGTAGACATGTCCTTAACTCTGCAGTCAGCGCTACATGTGTCCAGAGTCCACTCCGCATGTGGGAATGGAGACCTACCAGGAAGTTTCTATCTCTCTTACCCCAGCAGAAGGAGCCCGGGCTTCTCAATGCACAAGTGACAGCTCATCCCTTTATTTCCTTCTGGATAACTCAGCTACCAACGCCCTCAGCCTTGTGTCTCTACTCTCCTGAAGTGTCCCTCCCTGGGGTGGCAGGCATGAGCCTTCATGAAGGTCCAGTCCCATCCTGTGCTGTTCACCAGAGAAACCCAGCTGTCCACACCTACCCTCAGGGACCCCCTTCCCTAGCCCCACCTTGGAGCCCCACCTGTTACATTTCAACTCTACCAAGCATTACCAATTCCGTGACCGGGAAAAGGGGGGCAGCCCACTGATTAGACAGGACTCAAGAGTGTCCTTGGCCTCCGGTATTGGAAAGTCTCTGCAAGACAGGGTCCCAGGCCAAACTTCTCAGCTGGAAGGCCAAAGAGGACCGAAAACTACTGGGTCTCACCTTACCAACACTGCAATAGGAATTCAAAGCCCCAGAGCCGAGGCCAACATGACCTATCTTATCCCTGGGTTTGACCAGTTCTTGAGGCACACGGCCCGCTCAGCCATACATGCGGAGCCCACAGCTACAAGCAGAGCGTCTTCAGTTGGTGCACATTCCCCCGGATGAGGAACCAACTCGAGTCTCCATTTTCTCAGCTGGTTTTACACTGCCTCCCTCCTACCATTTGTACCAAATGAGGCTTTGCTTGGAGCCTTTGTAAGCAGAAGCCTGGAGAAATTTTTCTAATCCCTGTTACAACAATCAAAACTCTCTCAAAGCTTTGCTGAAAGTTGCCTGGTGTTTGAGGTTTGGCAAATTCAGTCCCCAAAGTCCTAGAACCAAGTGTATCTTATTCATGCAGTATGTTTGAGCGCTCTGCCTTTCTGTCCAGAGGTCTGCTTATTTACGGTGTACTCCAGTGCATCTTCTAGGCTTCCTAGCATGCTTTACTGGCAAATCTTTACGTGATGTTAATGCACTGGAAGGAGGTTGTTCAGACCTACCAGGGGCCTCTTGCTTGATGTGGGACACGTTTCAGATTGCAGCCTGCCATAAACCAGAACTGCACATCTACCAGTGTGGGAACTGGAAAGCACCTCTGTAGGGCAGGGCAAGGGGATTTTGAGGGGATGGGTTTAGTAGGTAGGGCCTACCTGCAGGAAGCATTTCCCTGGCACAGCCCCCCCTCCCCAGCCATGTACCTGAACTTCCTCCTCTGTCGTCTTCCCAGGGACTACTTTATCATCTGTCCTATGGTCAACATGGCCAGCCTCTGGGCAAGGAGAACCCGTGGAAACGTCTTCATGTACCACGTGCCTGAAAGCTATGGCCATGGCAGGTAAGGTGATCATGTGGCTATAGCAAATACAGGCAGAGAATGCCTCCTGGCAAGGGTCCCTGTCACCACACAGAGGAGAAAGAAGGCAGGATGAGGCCTAAGCCATGTCTCTGTGACGCAAAATGGGGCTTGGCCATGTATGTCCTGGTTCCATCAGCTGCAGATGGGATAGTGGTAATGGGTACTTTATCCCATGGTGTTTCTGCCTGGGAGAATGAAGTACAAGCATATGCAGATCTGTCTGCCATGGGGAACTTGGAGCTCTGACTTCAGTTACTGTTTCCCAGGCATGGAGACAGCCTTTTCCCTTGCCAGTAACCAAGTACTTCAGAAACGACTTCCCATAGCAGCATTTCTTCCTTCCTTCCTTTCTTATTTATTTATTTGTTTTTCTGTTTATTTGGTTTCATATTCTCTTACTCTGTAGCCCAGGCTGGCCTAGAACTCACTTTACAGTCCAGGTTGGCCAGGGACTCTCATCAGTACCCCTGCGTCAGCCTTTTAAGCACTGGGATAGGAGGCATGAGCTGTCGAGACTGAAAGAACGGTTTCTGTGTACCTCAGTTTCTCTATCATCCCTACTTGCAGAAGAGGTCCAAGCACCTGGCAATAAAATCCCAGGGTGCAATAAAACAGGGGAGAGCCACAGAGGCGCAAATAGGGAGGACAGGGTTTGGAGGGATGGGCTGTGTGGCCCAGGTCCCGCTTCTGCCCTCCCTACGCGTGGGAAAGCCCATCCCAGCGGAAACGGGGATGCATACATTAAGTGGTATCTGAATGGCGACTTCACACAGCAGCCCTTGGGTATAAGACCTTGAATGGGGCAGCATCCTGGCTGCAGCCTTGGAGTCTTTGGAGGATGTGATCTGTAGGCGTGTCATCTTTCATTCGGTGAGACCCAAAGCTGTAGTGTCCAAGCGGGTGGCTCAGTTTTCATTGCACGCCATGGAAACACACGGCTTGCCTGTGAGGGTGGCAGATGTCCCTGCTTTAAAGGCAGAGGGCATCTCTATCCACTCAGGCTGCTCCAATAAAGCACCTTACACACTGTAAACCCAGGTTATCGCTTACAGTTGTGGAGGCTGAAGTCCAGGTTCAAGACCAGCATCTTGGGGTGTCTGTAGAGGGCAGGGCAAGCCCCGCCTCGCCAGGAGGCACCTTTGCAAAGGAATGTGAAAGCTTGCTGGGGCCTTGTTGGTGCTATTCATATCTACCTTGTCCCCCGAAGACTCTTAGGACCAACACACCGAGGATTAGTCTTAAATGTAAGACTATAGATTAAGACTATAGTCTTAAATGTAAGGATTATAGATGCTTACCCTGTACCAGGGAGTCTGAGGTTCAAGGGGTTCAACGTGTCCTCCCCTACTCCCAGGATGACCAGCTACATCAGTGCACAGTAATAGCTGTCGCTGCCCCTCCCAGCCTAGAGATCTGCCTTCACCAGACCACGTGGTCTGTCTGCTTAGAGCTATTTATTTTTCCACCACCCCCACCTCTAGAGCCAAGCAGTATCTTGGGGTTGAGGGTAGGAGGCTAGATAGCCCCTCGGTAGCTCTCATGAGAACACCTGGAAGGGGGAGGGGTGTTGCAGGCACTCAGGAGTGTGCGCACAGCACGTGGAGCCTGCAGCCCAGTGGTCTGTAGCCGCTATGGCCAGGAAACCTACCCCAGAACATGTTCGTAGAATCATCTTGGCCTTGCCTTGCAGTGCCAAGGCCTGGATTTTGCCACTCATGGCTCTCAGACCAGTATTTGCCTTCTTCTAGTGACGAGAAGAGGTTACAGGAAGGTGTGGACACACACGTACACGCACCCACCCACCCACCCACACACACACATACACACACACACACACACACACACACACACAGCAAGACTATCCTCAGGAGCCTTAGGAGCTAGTGTCTTTTGTGCAGGAGGGAGAGGGGGACATCCACACATAACACCAAAGGCAGAGGAAAGCAGCAGCATGCATGCTGTTCAGTTCTGGCAGTGTCAGGAGGGCGTGAACCCTGGGTTAGTTTCAGAGACTCCCCTGGGGAGGGGCCGCGGGCTTTGTGGTCTTGGAGCAGCAGAACTATATTGCCATGCATTTGGAAGGGCTGCGAAGTGCAGTGCGGATGCCAGCAGGGCTGCAATTCTCCACAGGTCCTGGAAGGGTGTGCCAGGGACCTCTGGCCTCTGGTCGCCTCAGGCACTGCATCCCAGCAGGAGTCAGTCTTCCCGTCCCCTATCCCCTTCCACCCGGGTCCTGAATCCACATCCCCTTCTTACCTCGTGCTGGGTCAGGGTTTACCCTAACAACCTCAGTTTAACTCGCTCTAAGGAAAGACTGTCCCCACGTGTGGTCCCATTCTAAGGCCCCGAGATGAGGACACGATGATCACAGTGTGAAGCCATCGATGTCGTAGACGCCACAGTTATGAGCAGATCAACAAAAGAACTTGAGATTTCGGGCGAATTCTTACTTGCTGCTCCAAAATTGCTGTCTTCTCTTTCCTTCCCTTATCTTTCTCTGCCCCAAAGCTGTCTCTTCTCTCATTTTATTTCTGGCTCTGATCTATACACTTTAAGTGTGCATGTATGCGTGAGTGTGTGTGTGTGTGTGTGTTGTGAGTGTGTGTGTGTTACATTCTCCACTGTCTGTCTCTGTCTCGTGCCTCTGACTGTTGGCACACAGGAGCTTTCCTGGCAAGTGCCAGCAAGCAGACGCCATGCCTTCCCTTCCTTATAGAGCACGCTCAGATGTCACAGAATGGCAGTGTGACACTCTCTGTGAAACAGCTATAAACCACTGAGAAGCTGTCCTTCCTGCCAAGGGCAGGAGCTCAGTGATGCTAGAGCGAGGGCAGAGAATCCGAGACCTGCAATGCCTCATACCTGGGATCTAAAGGTCAGGAGACATCGCCTCTCAGACCTTCCCTCAGAAACAAAAGCCCACCCACACCAGCAGCATTGTGTTCTCGCCTGTTCCCTGCCGTCTCCTCTGTTCTCTTCCAGTTGCACCCATTTCAGCCAAACCTAGATTGCTCAAGTCCATATTAAGCCAAGTTTACACTAGCTGTGCTACCCTGGGCAACTCACTTAGCCTCTCTGGTCCTCCCGGCAAATACCCGGGAGAAGAATGCCTGTCCCACAGAGCTGCTGAGAAGGGGGATGGTACAGGACCTGTGGCAAATTTATTCTGAGGTTGCATATTATGCTCTGGGGAGGGGCATGCCCATGTCCGTAATCTGGAAGACTTGGAACGCCAAGGCTGTAGATGTGAGGGAAAGTCACCGTGGCTTTCACTCTCTGCCCCCTTTATTGGCTGTTTCATCTAAGCGAGTGCCCTTGCCTCGATGTTCTTGACTGTGAAATGGGTGTTGTTTCTTCCACTTCATCTTTAGAGAATTAAGATAACACGTGTTCAATATCCAGCGCTCCGCAGACCTTCAATGCTTGTGATTAAAATCGAGTTATTTTAAGGAATTAATAAAACTCTGCCAAGAAAAAAAAAGTGAATAAAAATGACTATGAAGGCAGCCACTCCCCTCCACCCCCCCCCACTTTAAATGCTGCCCAGCTGTGGGAAACAGAACTGTAAATCTTCGCCTTAAGATGTTTTGAACACCACTTGTCTGCATTCTAGATACTTTTGTGCATTCCAGGGGCCCTGCCCATTCCAGATCCAAAATGCTGTCTCTTCAGCGTGTTATCTGGGTGACTTTGCAGAAATTGGCAAGCCAAAGAAAACAGCATAGGGCTGGATTCTTGAACTGGGTCCACGGGCCCAGCCACACCCTGCGTGATCCTTAAGTTAGCATCTCCCAGGGTGGATGAAATGCCGGTCACTCCTGACACTGACCACTACACCCTGCGAGGGTCTGGCCACTCTCCAATCCTCTTCCACACAGACATGACACATGCCTGTCTAATAGGGGACAAACAACGGAGAGCGTGCCAGTCACCCCGCACATGAATGAGTTCAGGTAACTCAGCAGTGCCAGGAGGGAGGCCCCCTAAGGTGCTGGGTCAGTGTAAAAACTGGACATCCAAGCCTCAGACCTGAATGTCAGGGACGGTGGTAGTGAGTTAGGTTCCCCCTCAAAGAATTAATGGTTGTCAGGTGCCAGGGCCCTAAGGTGGGAAAGGCCTACATGTCTACAGATTTAAAAAAAAAAAAAAAAAAAAAAAAAAAAAGGCTGGGGAATTTAAGTCTGCTGAAGGTAAGGAGACTGGCTGCAGGTGTGAGAAAAATGGACGGGTCTTATCATTTTCCTAGGCATTTACCCAAGTGTGAGAAGAGTATCGGTGAACTTGGTGATCTGATCTCTGTCATCTACAGCGCACAGTGATCCTTTCACTCACCCACACCCAAAAACGTGGCTCACAGAAACTCTGCAAAATGCCCGTGCTAGACCAGCCTGTGGGAAGGACCAGTTGTGGCCATACCGGCATCCGTTCCCTTCCTGTTCCGTTTCAAAGTTAGAGACCTAGGTGGGAAGATGCTGCTTTCAGATCCCCTTCTGAATTTCCTGCAAAACCATAAGCTTAATGTGTACTCCACAATTTGATTGCCTGGCCGGGCCTCTCGGAAGTGGAATCTCTGCATGAAAGACCGTGCATTTAATGACCCAGACAGAAGCTCTGGGCAGACACCTAGCCTGGGTACCGAGAGAGTGTGTGGCACTTTATGTAAACAGTCAGGTTTAGTCCAGTTTAGTCCAGCCAGTCAACTAGAAGCTGCGACTGTCCCACCCCACATTTCCCTACCGGCTCTGCTGGGCTCTGGGGAGGTGAGGAACGCTGCTGCAACCCTGGGTGATTTCTGAGATGGATGGGCACCACTTCCAAGGCACTATGTATGTAAGAACTCCCCCCTGGGGTGCAGGTGAGACTGGGGTACATGGGGAGCTCAGCTTTAAAAGGTTTCACAGGAACACACGCTGTCTGTGAGGCCCATGATGAGCTCCTGAACCGTTCAGGAGCAGGAGCTGAACCTTGTCAGATCAGAGTTACCCAAGGAGAGACACCAGCAGGGTGTCCTCAAGTCCTTGGTGTCACAAAAAGAAGCAAGAGGCCGTGGAAGCAGGACATCCCCTCCCCCCTCTCCCGGCCGTCCTTCAGAGGAAGGACTGTAGGGCTGGGGTGTGCTTTGTGGGTGCTAGGTCAACATCCTTCCTCTCACAGCAAGAACTTCAGGATCCCTGTGGTCACAGACTCGTCCCCAGACCTGTCACATGGTTAGGGTGCAGTGGGCCTTCTTTTTCCAGTTTTGCCTCTAACCCTGTCACCAGAAGGATGATGACTTCCAGCACACAAACTGTAACAAACTCATCACTGCCTCTACCCACCGCATTCCCTTCTTGGCTTGGGGAGACCCCAGCTAAGCCGCCTTCCCGTGGAGGCCATTATTCAGAGCTCTTTGGAGACAGTACCTGAATCTGCTTCCTGCCAAGCCCCATGCCTTGTGGCTCCTGGACATGGAAACCAGCCGTGGGCTGTACTTTCGCTATGACTATGCATTGGCTCCCTGGGAAGGATTTGAGCTGAGTGGGACCGAGGTAAAGTCATCGATCTCAAGTGAGTTCTGTCCTCGCTGGACAGCAGTGGTGGCCTTACCCCAATCCAGGGTTCTTTGCATGAGGACTCATGGCCATGGCCAAAGGCTCTCTGGCTTGGGAACTACCCAGATTCCTCACCTTTTCAGGTCTAGTCTGCAAATTCTTCTGGTCTCAGCTCTTTGCTGAGACCTCCCCTCAGCTGGAGCCCGATGAACCAGGATAAGTGTGCCATCTGCCAACCTGGATTTTTCTAGAATAGGAAGATGACCCCCCCCTTTGTTTCTCGGTGTGGAGCAATTGTCAGTAGGGGTGTGAGGCCTAGGGGCCTGTTGACTGCCAGAGGGTCACTTCAGTCACAGTATGTATTTATTGACCATCTACCAAGCGTCAGGTGCTAGGGTGGGCTGCATGGACAAAAGTCAGCCCTGAGGAGCTGGGATGGGCCAGTGCAGAAGAGAGACTCAAAGCCTGCCATGTTTTATGAGTTTGCTCATTGAGGAGACAGACAAACATCCAAAGACGCTGTGGGTAGCTGGAATCGCATCCAGGGGTCACCCTGGCACACTACCTGATCATCATCTCTCGGCGGCAGGTGAGCCGCAGCCACCACATGTGCCATGAGTCTACCCCAGACCGGATTAGCCCCTGGATACAGGCCAAGTGGGATGCGCACTAAACAGGGATCCTGCGCGTGGTAGGAAGTGTAAGGAGCCTTTGTTCCAGGTGGAGGACTGCTGGGCTTAGGCTCGCGTTGGTCGCCTCATAACCTCTTGCCTTCCTTTCCCTGTTCCCTCAGCCTGGAATTGCTGGCAGATGTGCAGTATGCTTTTGGGCTGCCCTTCTATTCTGCCTACCAGGGCCAGTTCTCAACGGAGGAGCAGAGGCTGTCCCTGAAGGTCATGCAGTACTTCTCCAACTTCGTCAGATCGGGGTATGTGTGTGGCCCACCGTTCTCTGAATCCTATCATGAGCCCTCTGCCTCCCCCCACAGCTGAATGCCAAGGCCACAGTTTTTATCAGTTGACTCACCCTGACCGCAAAAACTGCACTTCTCTGCGACCATACCCCTCTTGGCTTCCCTGTTTCTAATCGAGCAATCTTTGTATAGATAAGTCATGAAGAAACCTTCCATCTGACTCCTTCCTTGCTCGGACACACTGAAGCAAGAGGTTAGGGTTCCTTTAGCCTCTGTACCAGGGACACTTGGGACTGGCTAAGTTGTGTGCATCCCACAGGATAATTGACAGTGTCCCTGGCCTCCATGCACTAGACACCAGCAGTGTATGCTGTGCTGTTTACATAGCTGTGGCTCATGCAAAGAAGGGTTTGTTTGGGGTTCCAGTTCTGCAGGGTTTGTCCTTGGTTGCTTTCCCTACTGGACAGTACATCATAGCAGCAGAAGTGTGGGAAGAAAACCTCTTACCTCATGCCAGACAGGAAAGGGAGGAGGAGGTCAGGAGGAGCAAGGCCCATGATATTCCCCGAGTCCGTTCCCCACGGACCCATTTTTTTCAAGAGGGGCTTCACCTCCTAAAGATGCAAATGCCTCATGATAGCCGCAACAAGCCAAGAAGCAGGAGCTCAACTCGTGAACTTGTGGGTAACATTTTACCTTCAAAACTCAGCACTTGATCCTGTTCTGGTTATGAAAATCAAAAATGTCTCTGGCATCCAGGCCTGACAGTTACCACCTGTCATCTCAGCCCACAGGCTGAGGCAGGAGGATTGGGATTTGCAGACCAGCCTAATCTACATAGAAAGACCCTGTCTCAGAAAATAAATATTTAAAAAAAAACCCACAGGCATTTCCCAGGGTCCCCTGTGGGGCCGACCAATGGGAGGCGACCACGCAGTGCCCTACGGGTGCACCGCCACCGTAGGGCGTGTTATCTTGGCATTCAGCCCCCACCTCCTCCCCGGCAGTCTCTGCTCCAGTTTTGTGGTTCGACACTTCCCAGATGTGCTGTTCCTCCCCACTCCTGGTTATTTTTCTACTTCCTTTATCTCGGTGCATTTCCTAGAACCCTCATAGTTCCCCCAGGGCGGACAGAGACATCCAGGCCCAGCTACAAGCTACTGACACCCTCAAACAGTAAAGGCAGAGCAGATACACCTTTGCTGTAGAAGTTGAAGGGAAAGGGACATTTCTTCTTGTTAGCGTTTTAGAAACATGTTCTCCCGGGGAAGCGGCATCCGCACAGGACTTTCAAGCGGCGCTGGGAAGTGGGCGGTCTGAGCCAAGGCAGGGGCTGGGAAGCACTGTGGCTATGAAGATGGGCGTGGTGCGATGGAGGATCAGATTTAGTGAATAAAATGAATCATAACGACGGCGGTATGATACTTCCTTGGAAGGGCGAGCTAACAGCTGGCATAATGAGTGTCCATCTTTCTTGGGGTTGGGGCTTCTGCAGCCTGAAGGAGGGCACCCACTTTCCTCGGAGGACTTCCAGGGGAGGGGTGCTTTGATGGAAAAGTCCAGAATGAGAGTGTAGAGTGGATGATGAGAAACGAGATCCTAAGATGTTTTAGATTCTCAGCTCTACTCTGAGATTCTGAGGCCAAATGACTCTTTTGACAATAAATAAATAAATAGGAAGGAAGGAAGGAAGGAAGGAAGGAAGGAAGGAAGGAAGGAAGGAAGGAAGGAAGGAAGGAAGACCTGCCATGAAACACTATAGCCTGGAGATAAATCCGCGGTCCTGATATCTCTGGGAGGTGATATCTTCTTTGTGGGACCTTTCTTTATGGATTGCAAGGTGGTCTCTGACTGAACCTATTTATCCATGCTTGGATAAGCAAGGACCTTCAGAAAGTGGCGGTGGCATCCAGCTCAAAGGCCACCAAAGAGAATGGGTGCCCAAGTCTTCTGAGCATTCAGAAAGACAGGGCCACCCACTAGGTCCCAAGTGGTGGCACTGAGTTGTGAACTGCCACCTTAGGGTGTGTTAGTGGGGATTTGAGAGAGCTTTTGTTGGCTGGTGCTTTATAACACAGTTAGTATCCCAGCTGAGTCTCCCGTCTGGGACTCAAAGTTAAATGATTTGCCCCTGAAGACCAGAGCAAGTAGGATGAGATATCAAGTAGTAAAAACACACCTATTCATGTTGCTGTCCTCTCATTTCCCCAGAAATCCCAACTACCCACACGAGTTCTCAAGGAAGGCATCTGAGTTCGCAGTGCCCTGGCCTGACTTTGTCCCCGGAGCTGTAGGAGAGAGCTACAAGGAGCTCAGTGCCCAGCTTCCCAATCGCCACGGCCTGAAACGAGCTGACTGCTCCTTCTGGTCCAAGTACATCCAGGCTTTGAAGGATGCAGGTAGCAGTGTCCTGGGGGATGAGAATTTGGGAGTGGCATTAGATTTGGTACCTACTGATGAGCTGCGTGTTGCTTTCCACTGCGTGTGTAGAGGCCAGCAGGTCACGGGGTACTGGAGGCACAGCCCCTTTTACATGAGGTGCTCGCAATCCAAGACTCTTTTGCTTGCTGCCAAGAGCCTCCTGTTTTGATGGTGGAGGGGAGGGGAGGCAAGGGTGAGGCTCAAGGAGAGGAGAGTAGATGGAGGGAGGGAAGGGACATGTGCAGGTTGAGTGATGAGTGGCAGCCAGCTCCTAGCACTGGTGCAGGAAGAGGAGGAACTTTAGCCTCTTGCCGCCCTTTGTCCGGTTATGTAAAAAACCTCAGAGGGAGAGAATCGATGAGGTACAAATGGCTTTCTTAATTCCTGCAGCTGGGGCTTAAGGGGTAAAATGGAGCATGGTATGACATTAGGACTGTAGAAACAATGTGATAACCCTTAAGAAACTTCAAGGAGAGTAAGGAAACAAATGTCACAACCCAGTGAATGTCCTTCCTCTTCCCCTTCACTGGAAGCACCTGTACCCAAGGGCCTGAAGGGGTCCCAGAGGAGGGATGATTGGGGGGTCAGAATGACAGAGACCAGAAGTGGGACATCAGAGAAGCCACCTTTGTCTAAAGTGCTTTTGGCTTCAAGACCAAATGAGTTCCTTGACATCCCTAAGGACCATTGTGCCCTTAGCTTGTCCCTGCATCCCGGAAATGAATGTGGTATCTGTGGGGATTGATAGGAAAGGAATCTGGTTCTGGGTCTCTTAAAAAAGAATAGATTCTGATCCAGCCTGCCTTCCCTTTCTGTTTCAGATGGAGCCAAGGATGCACAATCAGCCAACAGTGAAGAGGAAGGCTTGGCAGTAGACACTGGGCTGGAAGAAGACGTCTCAGGTTCCCTGGAGCCTGGCCCTAAGAGCTACAGCAAATGACCAGCCCTGAGACCTCCCATCTCAAACTGCCCAACATGGTGACTTTGCTATATACAGCCATTTACTATCAATAAAATATCTGCATACAGAAAAGCATTGGTGATTCTGAAGTATGACTGCAAAGCAGCTCTTGATGATGCTACAACAGTTGTCAGTGTAAATCTTCCTGAGGTTTGGCCCCCAGGTTACTGGGTTGTCAACAATATATAGAGAGCATCCACCCTGCCTCCTTAGAAAAACAAGGTCCCTGCCTTCCTAGAAAAGCAAGGTCCCTGTCCCTCTGAGAGAGGAAGTCGGGCAAACAGAAGACAGTAGCACAGAAAATGGGACTCCATCAAAAACAGGGGCTCCAGAGAGAGTCTCATCTAAGTGAAGGAATGTTCCAGAATGCAAATAGAACCAGGTCTGGGGCAGCAGTATAGCAAGACGCAAGGAGGTCTGAAGCCGTGTGTGATGGTAGAGCTGGATGGAACAGGAGGACAGAACCAGACACTTCGATTGTGTGTGAGGTGGAGTGGGTGTCGAAACTGGATTGCCCAAGCTCTGGGACAAGCACCTAGTTTCTACTTATCATCCCTAAAGGAAGCAAGCGCTGGTAACAGCAACTCTCTCTGTCTCTGTCAATCTGTCTGTAAGTGTGTGTGTGTGTGTGTGTCTGTGTGTCTGTGTGATGTATGTATGTGCCTGTGTGTGTGTGTCTTCTCTTCTTCCCTCTCTCTCCCTTCTTCTCCCCCCTCCCTCTCTCCCCCTCTCCCTCCATCTACCCCCCACACGCACCAAGGAGCAGGTGGAACTCATTAGCTCTCTCTGTCATTTTTATGGCACATCACAATGTATTCACACCCCACCCGTCATCTCACTTGAGTTCAGAGCAAACTCAGTGACACTTTCCAGGTTGAATGGGGCTCAGCAAGGCTATCAGAAAAGGGTGATAGCCCAGCATGTTTAGGTGGCTTAGGGAAAGTCCTTTGGCTCACTGGCTCCCAGCCATGGTTTGTGAGACTTTTCTCAGAACTTTCGCAAACCCTAGTACTCTGGCTACCAGTGGACCACGCCAGGAAGGAATTAAGCAGTTTCAGGGGGAGGGCCCAGACGTTGGTGTCCCTGGGAATGCCTACCCCTCTCACTTTCGCCAGCCTTTGTCTTCTTTGCACAATGGGTGAGCAGAATACCTGTCACTTTGGAAGCCAAAGAGCAAAGACAACAAGAACTGGATCAAACAACTGTGTTAGCAGAAGCTGACAAGCTGAGGAGACCGGAGGCCATCATCTGAAAAATCCCAACGTTCCGCCATCAGGCTGTGTGGGAGGAGAGAGAGCTGAGACAATGGCAGTCGATTGCTCTGGAGATCCGCCATCCTCCTTCGGGCGGTGAACCTCACCTCCGAGACCCGTGATGCTGAGCCTCCCTTGCTTGCTCTGATCCATTGTACTCCTTCCCTAATTTGCTGGATGCCAGGCCTCCGATACCTCCTGGAAGGATTAGTCAGTTTAGTTTCTGCTGGTATTAGTCTAGTCCTCTTCCCAGGGCATCTGGGCTGGGAGGGCTAACTCAGAACAAATAATCCCTTAACTGTGCACTGCTAAGCCATACATAACATGTATGTGCTGAACCCTTTCTACAACGTGGGGTACTCAGGTGAGACTGTCCCTCTGGGACCTGCGCCCTCGGTGGAGCCTTTTTTATGTGCCTCTGTTGTGATTTTTAAAAGTGGCACACGAGAAAAAGATGGCGTGCAGTAGAATTTTGGTAGAAGGGTTTGTTATGGGGGGGGGATACGTGAATGGGAAAAGGGAGGAAGGGAGAGGGGAGACCAGCTTTTGAGGACAAGAGTGGCAGAAGGGGGGAGGAGAAGGGGGAGAGAGGAAGAGAGAGAAAGGCGGGAGACGGGCGGGCCCTTTTAAAAGGGAATATAGTGAATGTGCACAGGTGATGCTCTCAGTGGCTGCAGCTGAGGGCGTATCCTGTCAAAACCCCAAGGGCAGGCCAGTGCAGATGCCTGAATACTAACAGCCTCTGTCTTCTGTTTTCCTGGCTTTTTTCTCCCAGAGGGTCAGAACTCTTGGCTTCCTAACCCTCTGCACCGGGCCAAGTGCAGGGTGACGCTCTTTGTAACACAGAATGTGAAAGTTCCACGCTCAGATGGATCTATTGCATTTACTGGGTGGGCACCATTTACCAAGTTACAAAAATGGAAGCACTTTTAACTTTTTTATTGCTGACCTTTTGCAGTAGTCTCTATAATGTCCCCGCTGAAGCTCTGCCAGCCTAATTCCTGACTCTGGGTGGCATGTGCAGATATAGATAATCAGCTGGCCTTAAATATCCTAGAATTACCTACTTGGGTCAGTTATAATGTTAAGAGCCATTCTCAAAGGAGACCGGGGAGGGGCAGGACAATGGACCAGAGAGAGGGAAGCATGGAAAGATCTTGCTAGTTTTTAAAACGGAGGGGTGCGTGTAGCTTCTAGAGACTGGAAAAGGCAAGGGGATGATCTGCCCCCAGAATGGAATACACCCTCATGACTTGGTTTCAGCCCATGGAGATTTGTGTCTGCCTTCTGATCTACAGACTAACACTACAGACCTGGAAGTTGGCAGTAACTGTCAACAGCAGCCACCAAAAGCTGATGCGCCATTATGCCTATTCAGACATACATCTTCTAGTGCCGTTGACCTAGCCACAGGCATAGCCAGCTCATTGTTTCCCTGATAATAAAAAGCCCACTCCACTCTAGTTCAATATTGAAACTCCAGATCCAACAGCACTGCCCCTAAAATTGGATGGGTGCTGTTGTGATAACTGGTTAAACAGTGGGTGGAACACATTGCCTGTCCCTGTGAGCCCTGCATGTGCGTGGTTTGGGCTCTTCAGGGTGACTGACATCTGCTATTTTATTCCCATTCTTTACAACCTGAGGTGGAAAGCATTCTGGGATAGTGGTAATGTCTGCATGGTAGATTGTCCTGGGGATTATGAGATTTCGCACCTCACAATCGAGGGGAGCTCGAGGCACTCAATGCTTACTCATCCTTGAGGTCAATGGTGGATCTTGAGTAGCTCCTATGTGTAGACTGAAGTTTCTGTCCTGCCCAGTCCCACAGCTGTTTAGTCTCAAATAAACGCACGGAGGCTTACATTAATTATAAACTGTTTGTTTGGCTTATGGCTCGGGCTTCTTATTGGCTAGCTCTCTCTTACTTATTAACCCTTATCTATTAATGTGTGTATCTCCTTGTGGTCTTGGTTTCCAGTGATGCCCAGGTCTCTTGCTTCCTTCACAGCTCCCCTGTGACTCATTCTCCACATGCTTCCTAGAATTCTCCTAGTTTGGTAGCTCCACCTTTACTTCCTACCTGGCTACATCCTGCTTGTCCATTGGCTGAAACAGCTTTATTCGTCAACCAATAAGAGAAATATATATTCACAGCATACAGAAAGACATCCCCCATCACCTATCTGACAGTCCAGTTCATGAGAAGAGAGACTTCAAAGGCCAAATCATCCCAGTACTGCCCCACGCCAGTGCTGGAGAAATCTGTACAGCCAACATACAATAGCCAGGATGCTTGGCTACAGGGCACCCAGGTCCCTATGAAGATGAAAGCAGCCAAGTGTGTCCAACCTGTGGGAGCCGTTGCAGAGCTCTGAGCTCCAAAACCCCATCACAAAGCTTCTCAGAACTGGTGTCATGGAGATTGTTGTAGCCCGCTCCTACGAGCAGAGGTGACAAGACCATATGTCTCGGTGAGGCAGGAAAATATAGGAAATAGCTTATCAACTAGGAACGTTACTTGGCTTGAGCTATACGCACACCCTTCTCTGACTGTGCCTAGAAATCTACCAGCAACACTGGTCCCACACCTGCACAGAGCTGCCTTCTTACCTGCCTTAAGCCACGGAGGAAGGAATGACATTCCTTTTCACATCCATGACCTCTATGTAGTTTCTAGTCAAACGCATACTGGAACACATTTCAAGAACTGACTTGGTATGTGTATGCAATGAGGCAAAACTGTGTTCACAAATGTTTAGGGAGAACCCCCCCCCAATACCATCTTATCCATGTATAAATGGATATGCACACCATCAAAATTGGATGCATTATGAGAAGGGACACATTCAGCAGAGGAAGGATCACATGACCTAATCTGTCACGAACCACCCAAACTGTTGCCTCGAAGCAACCAAACCCCTCCTCTGGGACACCAGAGGAGGAAGCTTCAAACTGCATCTGAGGCCTGTTGGCACTCTCCATGGTGTATTTTCTGACCTGTCCCGTAGTTTCTTGGTTCTTTGCAATCTGTGTGGTCATTTGTTCTATTTTTGAATAAAAGGCCCCGAACCTGGAAACACCCAAGCCAGACCCTGACCACCTCTGGTAACAGCAACTGAGCATTGACGGCCTCTTGAGTTCTCCCCTTCACCTGTAAAGGTCAGGGAGGTCACAGAACACCCATGTTAGGTTCACACAAAGGCCAGCTGAATGGGGAATCTGCTATGAAGAAACAGTGACCTCCGGGCTTGGACAGGCATGATTCAGGAGGGAAGTGTTGACATTTGCTGGGAACCAGGCACACCCATATCCTCATAAAGCAAGCGCCATGAGGCAAGTGTCTTTTTTAAAGGCAATCAAGAGATGACCCTGTAGGTGTCCCTATCCCTTCCCAATCCCTGTCCTTCCCTAACCCCTGTCCCTTTCCAGAAGAGGCAATAGATACCCAGGATCTAGGGGCTCCCTATACCTTCACCAACCTGGGAAAGATGGCTCCTCTCAGGCTATCCTAGTCCATAGGTGATTATTCCAGAACTAAATGGCTTATTAAAAATAAAAATTCCTAAAGGGTGAAATCTGTAATTACAGCTGCTTAGGAGGCTGAGGCGAGAGGATCGTAAGTTTACTCGTGGCTCACAGATCCACAGTTCTGAATGATTAATAACATCTCTAGGTAGGCTGTACCTCCACAGACCTCTCAGCCAGCCATAAGCCCACCTTCCTGTAATCTCTTTCACGGGCCCCCACCTGATTCCCATCACCCACGCCTCTGCATTGCATGAGAGCCCTGTCGCCTGCTCCACTGATCTTGCTGGT